AAGAGTTGTTAAACTCTGACGCTAGGTTCTTTCAACGTGCAGGCGTTGAGAGCTACTTACAAAGAGGTCGTGTCTTATGCCGTTTCGAGCAAAATCCTTTTGAAGCGCGCTCTCACGAAAGGCCGCGTCTCTGCCCTTCCAAAGAGCTAAGAGGAGCGATCCTACAACCGGCACCATCTCCCCACGATTTCATAATGAAACGGCCGAAATAACAATCAGCAGGGCAACAACATTTATTCAAGCTGCTTACAAACTAGAACAAATCACAATCGACATGAATTACAAGGTTTCGTGCCAAGCATTGGAAACAAGACTTGCTGGGTGAAGTTTAAGCGCCAGTGGAAGATATCGGAGTAGACACTTTCAACAAATGAGGGGCCACGTTTAGCAAACAATAGTCCGCAAACCCTAGACCCTAAACCCCAAACCCCAAAAGGAACCAACAGCGCGCCCACCTGCGATTGTTGGCATTTGGCCTGTCAAGTGCACTGGCATTCCTGTTTTTTCTGGGTCGGAATGATTACTAATAATATTCCCTCATCCCCCCAAAAACCCTATTCTCATTGTTAAGGCTCTTACTTTGCTTGGTTTCGTGGCGATCCTCAAGACTCGTCAAGACACTGCTGCGTTGTGCCATAGGCATGCCCAAATTCACAGTCGACAAAATCAGCAAACAGCGACCGGGCCGTAGGCAGACCCTTTTTGCACATGCAAACGTCCGCATGTTGGCGCTTTGCTTCATGTGTCTCTGACGTTTGCTGAACATGGTTCTCTTTCTAAGGTTGAAATTCCTAACCGGGTCGGGCAGGAGTCCTGCGATCAAGCAGTTGTTGGGTTTTGTTTATATACCAGTAAGTCTAAATAGATGTCGTGCCTGTAGGAGTACGTGCCCAATAATGCTTACTTATGGACCAGAGCGACATGCGACTCGACAAAATTAATTAGCTAAGTTACATATGAGATCATGTTTTTCGTGGTGCCGGGAAGCAATCATTCACAAAGCGGCGATGATGTTTCATGTGATATAGTTCAGCTAGTCAGTCCTTCATATAAACCAATTCTCATACTCTGGCCGCAAAATGATGTGGCTTTGTTTCATTTAGGTATGCTGAAGTTGTTTGCGTTGAGTTCACTGCCAGCATGCACAACGCTACAAACATCGCCAATCACAAGCCCTGGCTCTCAGATTTGTGGATCAAGTCATCTTTTAGCATGCGGATCAGCTGCAAGCTCAACAGCATACATCAGAAAGCATTTGTTGGCAGTTATGTTGGAGGTATTTTGCCTTATGGTGTATTCCGGTTATCATGATAGACTCTTGCCTTCTCTGTATTCACTATCACACCAGAGAAGCGCCATCCGCATTCTCACTACGGCTCCAGATCTTTTTTTCCAAAAAAATCACAATAAAGTGCTTGCTGCTTCTAAACTTGTATCTTCTGATGCGTCACTTTTTGAACATCTTCACGCAGCATTTGAGCAGATTTGCGCATACTGTATAAGTCAGGTTCTAGCTTTGAAAGAGGTACCTTGAAGCCATCGACAACCTTTGGCTGCAGGGTGACGTATCGCGAAGTAGCAACAACACATCATGAATCATGACCATTTTAGTTGCCTCACGGGGTCTAAAAAATATGTATTGCATGTAAACACAAGAGACACACGTATGAGAGGAAACTAGTTAAAGTGTATGGATCATGGGATGGTATGTAGAGACACACGTATGAGAGGAAACTAAATAATGTGTATGGATCATGGGATAGTATGTGTGATGTGGAGTAGCCTGACTCTGGATATCTCTGGATCATAATGGCTGACAACTAGTATCATAGAGACCGTGTTTTGTCGAACTTGCATCATCCGTTCGGCAAGAACCCTGGACCCTACTAGAGCCTAGCCGCCCTACCCCTACCCTACATAACTCTGTTTTGTCCAGGCCAGGTGCGCATGTCCCTGGACCAGCCGCGCCCAGAAGGAAACTCGAATCGGTATTAAGGGGCGGCCTGGTTTTGGGGTTTTAGGGTTTAGGGGGACCCTAAGCCAAGCCCACAGGTGGAGTGTGTATTTCTTAAATTCACTTCCTTCTAGGATGCTCAACCCTAAGCCCTTGAACCCTAAACCCTATACCCTAAACCCTACGCCCCCACGTGTGCGGCTCGAGCCCTTATATAAACCCCAGATGAGCCGCTTGGGCCCTGGACTGATCTGTTGTAGGTCTAGGTTCCTCTGCAGCCCAGTGGTTCCCTTTTGCCCTTCGCTTCTAGCTTCCCTTACAGCGAATCCCCCAAAGGGGGCTACCCTTAACCGCAATACTGTTAATGCGCGACCAAGGTTACATGATTCCAAGACCGTTTCAAGATTCCCAAGTAACCTACATCATACAGGCCTTGGGGTCCCGAAACCCAAAGCCCCAAACCCTTTTCAAGAATCTTGAGGAACCTTAGACACCATACAGGCCCTGAGCCCTACATCACATAATCCCTTAAAGATTTTAAAGGCACCTGATTCCCCAATGCCCTACGAAGAGTCAGTAAGTTGAGAGCTGGAGGGTTTCATCAGGCGTTTCTTTCCCGAATTCCCGATTCTAAGAACCAGTCAGATGCAGGTTCTAGGACCTTAAACCCTAAACCATAAACCCTGAACCCTAAACCCTACACCTAAACTAAGCCCTAAACCCTAACCCTATATCCGAAACCCTAAACCCTAGCCCGCGTGCACCTCCCTGCCCCAGTGCACATGCCGCTGCCCGGGAACCCCGCTGTCGCGCCTTCCTTCAAGCGCCGCAAAGGCCTGGCTATCTGTTGGGCCTTTTCAGTCCTAAACCTTCTAAACCCTACGGGTATCTGTTGGGCCCTAAGTCCTATTTTTAAACCATCTAAACCCCAACACTTTTACTTAGCCCGTAAATTGTAACCTGGAACCTTTAACCCTTAACCCTTGACGCTTGACCTTCTAAACCCTAAATCCTAAAACGGCTAAGCCGTGCTGGGTACCTCGTGCAGTGTTGTTATTGTATTACGCAAGCCATGGAATGACGCTCAACCCTGAACTGACCCTAAACCCAACAGAGAGGGATCTACACTTGCTTGTATCGGTGGGGGCATGAAAGTGGGTATTTTGGTTGCACTGTTGAGGGGGATTGATGTGGGGTTTACGATATTAGGGGTACATTGTTGGGTCCTTATTATAAGGGGATCCTACTGGGGGGGGGGGGGTCTACATTAGAAGTCCCTTATTGGTTGAAATTGCTCTAATTATGGTTTAGGGTTTAGGGTTTAGGTTTCCCAAAGCCTCACACCGCGCAGACATCCCCACACGTCCTTGTAACAGCTAAGGGTTTGGGAATGGTTTGGCCGTTGTACCTGTTCCCTCAACCGGACAAGATGGCACGTTGGAACCCCTGAACGACTCTCAAAATCACCAGATGCCAGGAATTTGGGATGAAGTTCTTCCCGTACCAATCCTAAACCCTAAACCCTGAAACCGAAGATCCTAAACCCTAGTGGCAGGCCATAGCCACGGCGACATCGGCACCTCGTCTGCTTCTGGCTGTGTGCTCTTGACAGGGCTCTCAATGGACCGGGGGAGAGACGGTTTAGGGTTTAGGGTCCAGGGCTTGGGGTTTAGGGTTTCGGGTGTAGGGTTTAGGGTTTAGGGTGTAGGGTTTAGGGGGTTTAGGTAGGTACCTACACGCGCCCCGCAGCTTCATCCGGCCCAAAAAGGATTCCGATTCCTCTTCCTACAGCCCACAGGGTCCTAAGTACGGACTATGTACACTGTAGTCTTTTCTATCATAGGAATTACTATTATGGTTCGGGCAAGTGTCCCCCCAAAACAGTACTTAGGACCCTTTGGGAAGGTGGCCCCTAAACCCTAAACCCCAAACTCTAAACCCTAAACCCTAAACCCTAAACCCTAAACCCTAAACCGCTGGCGCCAATGATCCATGTGTGGAGGGTTTCAGGCGAGGAAGTGGCGGCCTTGAGCCCGCAGGAAGTCAGCGACATGAAGGCACTGAAGTCAGCCCTGCGAAAACTCCATGGCTTCCCCCTGTGCCTTCAACAGGCCGGGGGTTACTCAGGGTTTACTGTACTCAGAGAAGATTGGCTTAGGGTTTAGGGGTTAGGGTTTAGAGTTTAGGATTTAGGGTTTAGGGTTTAGGGTTTAGGGTGTAGGGTTTAGTTTCCGAACTTCGCGGTACCTTACTGGGGTCCTTACTAGAAGGGAATCCTACGATTTTGGGGTCTATATTAGGGGTTCCCTTATTTTCGTTAAACCCCCCAGGTGTTACATAATGGCAGCTGCTTGGATGACACTACCAAGCTAGAGGCGCCTATCGATGTGCAGCTGGTCCTGTTGTCCATGTCTTCGCAGCAGATGGAGGTCACCAATGAGCTCACGGATGCTTACTTTGCCAATGGTTGAACCTTCCACTTTTTGGGCTTCCTTGTTTAGTAGGAACCCTAAAACCTAAACCCTAAACCCTAAGCCCTAAACCCTAAACCCTAAGCCCTTATTGGAGAAATAAGGATGCCTGTGCGCAAGGTGATGTTGAAGTCGCGCGGGCTTTGCTTCACTCCCTTGGTAGCAGCAATCTGGTGGACGCGTCCGGAATGACAGCTCCTGATCTACTTGGTTTAGGGTTTAGGATTTAGGGTTTAGGGTTTAGGGTTTAGGGTTTAGGGCTAGGACCCACAGTAGGCCCTTGTTCCCTTTTTTTGTTCAAGGTGTTCACCCGCGTGTCTATTCCTAGGCTACTCTTGGGTCGAGGCACTCACCACCGCGGCACGTCATGGCCATGCGGAGATTCTTGGTGGCCCAGTGATACCCTTTACCCTTTTTGTGGTTCTGGGTTCCCTTATAAGGTAACCCTAAACCCTAAACCCTAAACCCTAAACCCTAAACCCTAAACCCTAAACCCTAAACCAGGGTGCCCCTATCATAGCATGGTCACGGGGCTACCAAGGATTGTACGGTTGTTGGCGGCAGCCCGTGCTGACATGGACCTCCCGGATGGTGCTCGCAACACAGCACTGGTCTATGCGTCTGAAAGCGGCTTAGGGGCTGGGTAGTTCACCTGTAACCTTTGTGTTTTTTCGGCCCTGGACCCTAAACCCTAAACCCTAAACCCTAAACCCTAAATTTTTTCTGGCCCAGGGTATTCAGCCCCTGAGGTGGTCATGCAGGTTGCGTTGAGTTGCTGCTGGAGGCCGGTGCCAACAAGGAGCTGCCTCTGGGCCCTATTGGGACATTTTTTTCATTGCACCCTTTTTGGGGATTTGAGGGATCATATTCCCAAAGCCCGAAATCCTAAACTAAACCCTATTTCCCCCTTTTTGGGGTTTAAGAGGATCATATTCCCAAAGCCCGAAATCCTAAACTAAGCCCTAGTTGAACCCTAAACCCTCAACCCTAATCCTGAGCCCGCAAACCCTAAACCCTAAACCCTAAACCCTAAACCCCAAACCCCTAAACCCTAAACCCTAAACCCTAAAACCCTAAACCCTAAACCCTAAACCCTAACCCCTAAACCCTAAACCCTAAACCCTAAACCCTAAACCCTAAACCCTTAACCCTTAACCCTTAACCCTTAACCCTAAACCCTAAACCCTAAACCCTAAACCCTAAACCCTAACCCCTAAACCCCTAAACCCCTAAACCCCAAACCCCAAACCCCAAACCCCTAAACCCTAAACCCTAAACATCCGAAGGCATGGTCAGCAGGGCAGCACGGCTCTCATGGCAGCAGCCGAGTCTGGGCACTTGGCAATTGTGCAGCTGCTGTTCCTTGGGGACCAAATGGGGGGTTTAGGGTTTAGGGTTTAGGGTTTAGGGTTTAGGGTTTTATGCGCAGCTGCTGTTCCTTGGGGACCATTTGATGAACCCATTTAAACGGGTTTGTGTGGGTTCATTTGTGGCCCAAAACCCTAACCCTAAACCCTAAACCCTATTCTAGTACAGGGGAGATGACCCCGAATTTTCTTGGCTCATTTGGTCTCCCAGGTTGGCAGAGGACGCCAACATTGACTCACAGGACTCGTTCGCCTCTACCCCACTGATCTGTGCGGCCGAAGAGGGCCAAGTGCAGATCGTGCGGCTCATGTTACTTTGTGGTGCTTTACTGTAACTTCACATCTTTAGCCTTTTTGGGTTTATTGGGGTTTCTTAAGAAGGCAGCTAAAAATTAGATTTATCGCTGCCCTGCTAAGAGCAGCCAAGGTTAGAAGCTAAGGCCGAGAAGGATCTGCAGAATTTCATGGGGCACACCGCACTCATGCGCGCAGCTTCTTGGCAGCCCAGTGGTACCCTTTACCCTTTTTTGTTGTTGGGTTCTGCTTTCCCTTTTTTAGGGTTTAGGGTTTAGGGTTTAGGGTTTAGGAACCCAAAAAAGGGTGCCCTGATTATAATATGGTGACTGGGCTACCAAGGCTTACAATGGTCACGCGGATGTTGTTCAATTGTTGTTGGAATCCCTGGCCGACAAGGATTTGCAGGCCCGTCATGGGAACACGGCTCTTTTGTTTTCAGCGCGGGACGATCACGTGGAGGTCGCACGGTTGCTGTTGGAAGCTGCTGCAGACATGGAGCGTAGGGGTGACCGTGGCAACACAGCTCTCATTACCGCAGCCGAAGGTGACTTCTTTCAGTTGACAGAGTTGCTGTTGGCGGCTGGTGCCAACAAGAATGCGCCTAAGCTGTTCAGTAGTACACTGTGTCTTGTTTTGTTTTGTTTTATTGTTTTTGTATTTCATTGTGCTTATTATTTGGTTTTTTCCTTTTGGGGTTCTGGGTTCCCATTTTCCTTTTGGGGTTCTGGGTTCCCATATGTTACGTTTAACCCTAAACCCTAAGCCCTAAGCCCTAAGCCCTGAAAAGCTAAGGCGCAGAACGAGGCGCGAAACACAGCGCTCATTTGCGCGGCTGACAGGGGCCATGTGGAGGTTGCTCGGCTGCTGCTGGAGGCACGTGCGGACAAGGACCTGCAGAATCAGTACCTTGGGGACCAACGGAACCCTAAACATGTAGCTCATACACCCTATACTACTATGAGCTCTTTTAATTTAAGGCAAATGTACCCTAAACCCTTTTAGGGCTCACATCGTCCTTCAGGTATGGCAGCACCGCCCTCATTTTTGCAGCCCACGGTGGGCATCAGGAGATCGCGCAGATGCTGGTGGCAGCTGGTGCTGACAAGCTCCTGAAGGATAACTTTGGCCATGACGCTCTGGTTTATGCGTCTGCAAGTAACGATTTGGCAATTGTAGAGATGCTGGAGGAAATGGCGCCAGGTAGCGCAGCAATCTGACTCTTCGGCCCAGAAATCTTGTCGCGTTGAGGCGAGCTTCTGCCGGATGCTTGGGGGGCTGCTGGAGAAATGCCTGCTGGCTTATAACCTGTAGTGAGCACTAATTATCCTCCCGCTATATATCGATGCTATGACTATGATTACCAGTGTGGCTGTGATTACAGCATTTGTGGCCGTCATTTTGTAGTTTTGTGATTTAGTACAATTATGTCGAGGAAGGCCTTTCGTCAGCAATATCATTTGGCAAGATGTCAAAGTTATGGCCCACTTCTTTTGGGGTCCTTATAGAGGCCATGTAACATTATTTAGGTAGAATCACAATAGCAATCATAAGAATGACAACAGCAGAATAATAGTAACCCCTAAGAGCACCATGCAGTCACCGGGGACTCGGGGAGGAAGAAGACCCCTAAGCCCTAAACCCTCAACCCCAAACCCCATAAACCCTAAAGCCTACTATAGACCCTACACCCTAGACCCGTTTAAAGGTTATACCTACAACATAGGGGGCTACGTACTGCTAAACTGTAGGTAAGCAGGGTCCCAGGTAAGCTCCAAGCCCGAAGCCCAAAACCGCAACCTGAAATCATGCCAAAGACCTTTTGCTCTTGACCTGAAACCCTAAGCCCCAGCTTCAGAAATTTCAAGCCCCAAACTCTAAAACCCAAATGCGAACCCCTTCGCCCATAGACTGGGCCTGAAGACGTAAACCGAGACCCTGTAAGTAGACCTGTATTGCAATCTGTACAGGGGTTTGGGTTTTAGGGTTTAGGGTTTAGGGTTTAGGGAGGAGTTCTATCCATGAGCCAGCAGCCCTCAACCTAAACAGTAGTTACATCCTAAACCCCAGGCCCTGTTTGGCTCAAGTTCGCATCCTCACATTATGTTTCAAACACTCTCAGCCCAGAGTAAGTTCTGGTTTAGGTTTGAGGGTTTGGGGCCTAGGGCTTAGGGTTTTTGGAGGAATCCTAGGGCCCCAACGCCTGTGACTTGCTTCAGGTTGAGTTGCCCACCCGGGGTTTGTTTCTTAAAGGTTTCGGGTTGTTGGTTTTGGCCCTCTGGGGTTTAGGGTTTAGGGTTTAGGGTTTAGGGTTTAGGGTTTAGGGCCTAGGGTCTAGGGTTTAGGGTTTAGGGTTTAGGGTTTAGTTCAGGGTTTAGGGTCCTAAACCTTAAACCGTAAACTTGCGCTTCACCCAGAGGCCCGGTTTCTTCGCAATCTTGTGGTCAACTCTAGACTCTATAAAGCTTGAATGCATCCTAAACCCTAAACCCTAAATCCTAAACCCTAAACCCTAAGCTTCAGACTCCAAAGGCCCGATACCCTTTCTTCTCGACATTGCGGTGTCTCAATCAAGGGACTAAGACCCCGAAGGTTGTACCCCTGAAGGTTCCCCTGAAGATACTCCGACTCTGGTAACTTATACTACCTTAAGGCCTTAAGGATCTTTCAGGTTTAGGGTTAAGGGTTTAGGGTTAAGGGTTTAGGGTTTAGGGTTTAGGGTCCCCAAACCTCGAGGGTGCAACTCGGGATGTTCGTCCTTACACTCACAGTCCTAAATAGGGAGTATATTGGGGGGCACTATAACCCCTATTACGGACTGTTAGTATACGGGTGAACATCCCAAGGTGCAACCTTGTTTAGGGTTTAGGGTTTAGGGTTCAGGGTTTAGGGTTTAGGGGACTCTACGGGGCTCCCCTTGGGCAGATGCGCTCCAGAAGCAGCTCGAGGAGCAAAGGAGACTCGCAGCCAGGCTTTCCAGAGATTGGGGGGGGGGGGGGGGGCTTTGGGGTTTAGGGTTTAGGGTTTGGGGGTTTGGGGTTTAGGGTTTGGGGTTTAGGGTTTAGGGGTTGGGGATTAGAGCTTATTTGGGTTAGGGGGGAGGGGTATTTTGTGATTTTATGTTTACTTGTTTTTGTTTATTGTGTTTATATATATATATATATATATATATATATATGTTTTTTTTTGTTTTTCTCTCTCTCTCTCTTTCGCTCCCTCTCTCTCTCTTCTTCTGTTTGCTTTGTTTTTTTGTTTTTTTTTTCGGGGGGCGGGGGGTGTGTGTGCGCGTGTGGTAGGTTTTGGGGTTTGCACTATCTTGTTTTGTTTTTTTTTTTTTTCTGGGGACCTTAGGGTTCCACAGGCTTCGGGTTTAAAGGCTTTGGGCTGAAACAATAAACCCTACACCCCGAAACTCACAGAGGCGGAGGGTTTCCGGCCCTGCTGTCTTTAGTGGAAAGCCCGAAGGGGTCATGTACCGAAATAGGGAATACTTGGGCCTTAATTAAAGTCCTTCCCATCTAGGGACCTTGAGGCCCAAGTATAAAAATAATGAGGTACATGGAGCCTTAGGGAAAGTGCGGGCTCTGAAGTCTTAAGCCTGGCAGCAACTTTAAACCCTCCCTCCCAAGCGCGCTGGGGCGCCGATAGGTTCTTGCCACCCTGGTCATAAAGAACTAGTTTTGGGATGTTACCCCTTATCCTAACAGTCCTTAGGGATTACAGTAGCCCCCCAATTACAATCCCTATCAGGAACTGTTAGGATAAGGGGGAACGTCCCAAACCCAAAGGCCTTTTGTGGGAAGGCTTCTGGGCCCCCAAAGCCCTAAAACAAAGAGCCCTGAGAGCCTTCACACAGGCCGCCAAGAGATGTACCATCATCCTAGGCTCCCTAAACCCGAAACCCCTAAACCCTAAGCCCTAAACCCTAAACCCCAACTGGGGTTCAGTGAGCTCGAACTTGAGGGTTTAGGGTTTGGGGTTTAGGGTTTAGGGTTTAGGGTTTAGGGTTTAGGGTTTAGGGTTTAGGGCTAGGGTTTAGGGGCCCCGCCCTTTCCCCGCGCGGAAGGCTGGAGGCGGAGTTGCGCCAAGTACGCGCCGGCGCAGCGCCTGGGGGGACGGCCAGGCGCCGGCAATCATGGGGTAGGCTTTAGGGTTTAGGGTTTAGGGTTTAGGGTTTAGGGTTTGAGGGTTTGAGGGTTTAGGGTTTGGGGTTTGGGGGTTTGGGGTTTAGGGTTTAGGGTTTGGGGTTTAGGGTTTAGGGTTTGGGGTTTAGGGTTTGGGATTTGGGGTTTGGGGTTTAGGGTTTAGGGTTGAGGGTTGAGGGTTTTGGGGTTTAGGGGGCCCTGTTTAAAGATCCTCTAGGGGAAAATATACGGGCCATATCGGGAGTATATGAAGGGAACCTCTTTGGATCCTTAGGGGTCCGAGATTTTATCCCTTGATGCAAGCGCCTGCGGTTTAGGTTCCAGGGCTCAGCTTAGTTTAGTTTAGGGTTTACATCAGTTCGGGTTTACATTAGTTTAGGGAGTATAGGGATTACATTAGTTTAGTTTAGTTTCGTTTAGGGAGTATAGGGTTTACATTAGTTTAGGGGTTATAGGGTTTTCAGGGGTTATAGGTTTTCCAGGGTTTCCAGGGTTTCAAGGGTTTACTGGATTCATAATTAGGGTTTACAGGGCTTAGGGTTTCGGTCGTGGTTCAAGGTTTCAAGGCTTTCGGCTGTAGCTGTCACTTGATGATGGTAAAGATGTATTCTACAAGGGTAGCCGGCTTTTTGTGCCACTAGCTAGGTGCGCCTGAGCACTTTGATCAAAGCCCTAAGCCTTGTACCTCTCATTTAAACTGCAAAGCCTCTAAGCCCTAAAGCACAGCGTCCCTGAGCGGCCAAGGTTCAAAGCCCAAAGGCCAACAGCCTAGAAACCCACGTTCTGCACGCGAGCTGACTTTCTTTTAGGGTTTGGGGTTTAGGTTTCAGGGTTCAGGGTTAGGTTTTTGGGTTTAGGGTTCAGGGTTGAGTGTTCAGGTTTAGGGTTTAGGATTTAGGGTTAGGGTTTAGGGTTAAGGGGCATCAAGAGAACTAAAGCCCCTGAACCCTATACACCCTGCAGGAAGGCGGATGTCACGAATGCCACAGACAGCACAGGCCTGCTCCTCCGAACCGGCTGTCTCCTGTCTCTGAGACTCCCATACCCCTCATCTAAACTCTGTGATAGTTAAAGGACGGTTCCAAAACAAAGTGATTAGGGCTTTTGGGGACTTGGAAAATAGCCCCAAAACCCCAAACCCCTAACCCCTAAACCCTAAACCCTAAACCCTAAACCCTAAACCCTACAGAGGGACGTTAGGAGCTCAGACGCCTCGCAGGGTTTAGGTCTGGGCATCGTTGTTTCGGGTGTAGGCTCAGAGTAGTTATCATGGGTTTCCATACTACCCCGTCAAAGCTACCCCCCCCCCCCCGCCCGCCGCGAACCCTGAACCCTGACCCACCCTAACCCTAAACCCTAAACCGGGGTAGTATAAGGGGTGTAGTAGTAGAGGCGGTGAGCGTGCCTGGGCCCATAAGCGCTGTCCTGTCGTAGGGGTTAGGGTGTTTAAGGTATTTTAGGGTTAGGAGACTCCAGGAATTGTGGTCTTAGACAGGTTGGCGGAAGTGCGGGTACGCATGGCCTTAGCAATGGCTTCAGATCTTGGCTTGACTGCTTTCGGCATGGATATTACTCAGGCGTTCTTGCGTGCCCCGATTCCTCACATGCCCGGTGGACATTGACTTATCCTTTTTCTTGAGGCCACCTTCCTTTTCGTGCAGGCCGGAGTCTGCGCAGCAGACGAAGTGTGGTCGGTCCACAAAGCCCTTTCTAGGATGCCCAGTAGTACCCTTATTCCCTTTTTGGGGGGGTTTAGGTTCCCTTATAAACCCCTTTAGGTTACTGGGCAGCCTAGCTTTACAGGCTTCGAGAATCACCGAAATGGTGGGCCAGTCACCGAGACGAAGTCCTGGCCTGAATGGTGAGACACTCCAGCCGTGTCCGTTCTGGGACACCGACCAGGCGGTGTGGGAGATCGTCACCGAAGAGTGCGAAAAAAAGGGTTTAGGGTTTAGGGTTTAGGTTTTAGAGTTTAGGGATCGTGTATGTGGACGACCTTCTTACCCTGACACAAGGAGCAAGTTGGCCAAAGCCTGCACCTGAACGAGACCTTGAAATAGGAGACATTCCCCCTT